GGTTATTAGATTGGGCGCATGTTTGTACCAGGAATAATAGTACAGACTGGCGTTTAAAATGCATGGTTAATTCACTCAGTAAAGCTAGGGAACGGAAAGTATAAGGGTAGTGAATTTCTCTTCTATTTCTTCTCCTCGTTTGCGAGTAAACGGTTGGGCGTACATCACGTACAATCTGTAGAAAGGATTCGACACTTTCCCCCGTTAAATTCCAAAACAGAAATTGCTCTCTTTCATTGCAAAAGTCGCGACCATTGCATGAACGCCGAATCGAACACACAAGATTGGGAAACAATACTCCTTCCATACGTGCCCTTGGGATGTTTGTTTGGGGGCCGCGGGCATGTTGTTATCAGGAATAATAATTTGCAGAAACTTTCAAAGTTTTCAAGTAATAACTCGCGGTTAACAGTGCATGGTTTATTTCGTTATTTAACCTGCTATATCTTTTTAATGCCTCTACAGCACAAGTATATGCACGGAGAATAAAATGTTACACAAAATTGCTAAACACTGCAGAGCGGTTGCAATCACATGTTAATCGTCTACCATGGCTACGGTTGAAATGATTTAAAAAAACACGTCGAGTAAATACAATACCAATCTAAAATGTCGTGTTTTGTGATCAGTGTTTATGCCTCGTTCTTTAGAAAGATAAGTAAGATAATTTCTATAGTTCATTGTCTTTTATTGTTATGATCAACCAATCACAAAGCCATGTTCATATAGGTTGGTGGCGACCCAATGTACATTATTAACATAACTGAATATTCGTATAACGTCGAGTTGTGCATGTTAACTAGTTACAGATTCATCGAGCGTACTAGATTCATTCAGTAAAAATGGTCCGCTGGTGTGGGAGGTATTTTTGTTAGGGTCGGTTGACTGATCTTTATCAATGGTCCCAGGATCATTAGAGATGGTAATTTTCATACTGTTTTGGGGATTGTTGAACATATAATTATTATTCATTACGTTGAATATTGAACTCTCAAGGGACAGTAAGCTTGACGTGAGGAATAAATTTTCTTCGCTAAGTTTACAAATCGCGTCGTCTTGCTTGCGAATAACGGATTCAAAATCTTTTTGCTTAGATCGCAGAGAGTTAACTTCCGATAACAGATTGCTTGTAATATCTACCAAACTTGCAAAATCCGCTTTCAGGTTCGCAAACTGCGACACAGATAGTTCATCAATACTGACACAAACATCCGGCACCGATGGACAAATTACATCTGTAGCTTCGTGTGAAATGTTTACATTGCTCGGGCCCTGATCAATCAGACTTTCAAGCTTCGACTTTAGGTTTTACTCGGCATTGTCCCTCTGTATAATCAGCTTTTTTGAACGAGGACCATGCCATTTGATGACAAATTCCCCTTCTCCATCGCTTCTGAAAATTTTGACGTCTCCTCCAGGAGATTTCCAGCTGCCTTTTATATTTAATGCTTCGTTGATAAAACACTTTAGGTCTTCAAAAGTTTTAAGCCATCGGTATGTTTCACCATCATATGTTAGACCACTGAGGTCGTTCATAGTTGATTGAACGACGTTATATTGTGAGTCTGTAAATATATTCACGTAATATATTGACGAGAGCTTATTTGGAAATTAAAACTATTAATAATTTTAACGTAACCAGTTTAAAATGGTTAAAATCAGATAAAATTTGTAAAATTTTGCAGAGCTTATAATTTAGTACCCACCATCTTTGACGTGAGCAGTTGTCCCACACTTCCATAACCCCACAAGACCAGAGCAGTTGTCCCACACTTCCATAACCCCACAAACCTTGTGTTCTTATGCGTATCGTTATATTAAATATCTCAATATATACATATTTATTAAACGGTGAGGATATTAATTCAAATTAATTTAGAAGGTCTAGATACAAACCAGTGAACTCAATCTATTTACCTGGAACGATAACATTCAGTCATTTGGCAGTTAAAAAGTTAAGCCTCGCGTGAGCAACGCGTGAACAGTGGCGTCAGCCCTCCACGCCATATAATACGTCAGTTTCAGTCCCTTTATTACGCCATCGCCGCGCGGTCTGATCGCCACGCCATATAGTACGTCAATTTCAGTCCCCTTATACGCCATCACCGCGCGGTCTATCACGAATCAGCGCACTTCAAGTGGCGTTGGCATTGGCTTCACGTTTCTCCCCGCATGTTATCATTCCAGATAAAAGACATGGAGTTCACTGATACAAATTAGTTATTAAGGATATAGTCAAAGCAGCTACAAATTTTTGTTTCAATCCAATTTGTCGTGTGTATGTGGTGCATGATCAAAAGGGAAAACAAAAGGGAAAAATACAATTTCTCAGTAGAAAATATTTCTAATCTAGGTGGTGTTGGAGGCAAAGCACACTACACATTCAACTACGAGAAATCTTCAACCACGTCTGACTGTACATCAAAGGAACAATACAATAGTATCAAGGTTACATCACAGGATGTGTTCGCACTCCTTGTTTCCAGTTATTGTGACAAGTCTGGAAGAAGTTGTTATTACCTTACAATAACAGACTAGCTACAAGTTGTTCCAATAAGACCAATACAAGCTGTTCGTAATAAGTCGATCGCTACGTACAGTACGTGCAGACGATATCAGACTTGTTGGAACAACATGTTGCGAGTCTGTTGGCCTCATCAACTTGTTTGCGACATGATAACAACTTGTTCCAGACTTGTCAACAATTGGAAACAAGCAGGACCACATCTCACAAGCTGTGAGATTTGTATGCGTGTATATGACACATGATCGAAAGGGTACTACAATTTGTTAGTGGAAAATATAGGGAGTACGTGTTGAAGGTAAAGTAAACTACAAATTCAACTACGAGAAATCTTCAACTACATCTGACTCCACATCAAACCAACAGTACAATAGTATCAAGGTTACATCACAGAAAACTCTGAACCCGCATTCAGCTGCTACATATCGTATCATGTTGACCAAGACACGGTCTACCGTACCATAAACTGTCACGGTGATCGCGCACTTTTCTGCAGAACTGGATGGATTTCTAAGATGGGGTTGGTGGACACATTGGGGACAGTACAAATTATCATTTCGAGTAAGTGAACTAAAGTCGTACCCACTCGTACGTAAGAATACAATACCCAATAGAGTAACACAATAGAATATTTAACAATTACTCACAGAAGGTGTGTTGATTATCGCGGAATATTCGCCGAGACGAAGTCAATGTGAATATTCCCCAATAATCACCGAGCCTGAGGCGAATAATTGTTTTAGTTTTTTTGGGACTGAATTTATTTTAATTTCGCTAGTTTCTTTATGAGTAACTTCCACAAAACAGCTAGCCGCCATTTTTCAAATTTCGGTTTTGTTATATTCACCTGTAGGTGAATATAAGTCAACAGCTTAATACGTCAAATTTGACCAATCAACTTGCTGGATTTGTTATATTCGCTTGTGCAAAAATACTAAAATTGAATAGTAGTAATACAATAGAACATATAGAATATAGTACAACGCAATCGACATTAAACACAAGCAACTCAATACAACACAAGTGCAACAACTCAATACAACACAACATGTAATTGACTTTTGATTGATTAAGGTTCTTAATTGTCCTGGAAATTGATTTCAATTGATATATTACAGTACCATCCCAAAATTAAGGTACACCATATGTATCTCACAAGAACAGAATTTAATTTATTTCTTCTTGCAACAACTCTGCAGTTCTAGAGGCAGTGGTGATCGGCCGACATTCAAGTATCGTTTGGGAAGCTCAAGTAAGAAACGATCGCTGATTGGCAAACTATATTTGGCTCAAGAAGACTACCCAGAATCCCTCAGTGATGAAAATCCACCCGAAGTATTCCCAGCACCACCTGCGGTCACAATCGCACCCTCCAAGTACAAGGCGAATATCAAACAAGAGAAGGTTCTGGGTTAAAACACTGAGTAATTAAAACGGTTGATTCAACAAGCTGATTTAATTGTTACTGTACAACGTACAGAAGCTTAATTACTATAGTGTAGCATGTAGCCAAGAACTGATTAAAATGTTATCGAAATATGAAATAGTTGCATTCAAATAAAGATTTATAAACTCTCTTTGCCGGCGGTTAACATTTTGCTAATCCAACCATTAAAAAGTAAAAAAAAAACTTTTACTCAACCTCAAATATCAATTAAAAATAAACACCCACACCTGGCAAAAAAAATTACAAAAGGATACCATTCAGTCGTCACACATGTTTCCTTTACCACTTCTCACTACTTCTGTGACATGAGTTTGATTCCTGCATGTACAATTTGCAGTTTAAAGTTTCATGTAGTCTGCACATGTACTTTCTTTGGAGACACCATTTGCCTCCTAACAAATCGGAAAATGATCAAATAGCGATTCTGATTGATTGATTTACATATTGTATTGAAATATATAACTGTTGCGATTGTTTTTAGTCTTCAGTATTTGAATGAGTCATCATGCTTTCCCGACTCTTGAGTTGTTTTGCGTTTCATTGATACAACCTTTCAAAATTTTGTTTACTCAACCCTTATTTCTCTTCCGTGAAATCATGACGGGATTGACCAATCCTTGGAATAAAATTTGTGTCATTACATGAAAGACGGACAGAACTATCCAACCTACATGTTTGAAATATATTTTGTTGAAATTTCTATATGAAAAAAAGATCACTTTTTGCTCATCTCCGCTGACCGTGTTTTGAAAATGTATTATTCACGCGGCTCAGCATCAAATTTAACTTCAGTCAATCACAGGACTTCGCCGATAGAATGAGCATTCCAGTGTATTGATCTAATTTCAAAATTTTCCGCTTTATTCGCATATACATACTTGCAGCCGAGTTTTTTTGTGCCATTTGACGGTTATAATTATGACTTATTATGAACTAAACACCACAATTTATTAAAAGCATTCTAAAACACTAAAACACGAATAAAATGTGAGCAACATGGAACGAATCAACTGATCTTCGTATATATTTATTTATTTATTTATTTAATGTCAAAACACGTGGTGCATAATATTCAGGTAATCAGGTTGCATCATGGTACCCTGGGTACCAGAGCCTCTTATGAAGAGTGCTGCTGACTCTCTTGCAAAAAAACTGGTCGAGTTCTCAATGCGTTAACAGGAAACGACCCTCGTTTGTGCCCCATTTCAACGATAGCTGTTTATCCTTTAGTACTGCACGCGCACAAATAAAATAACCTGTCTACGGACGAGGAGGACGAGGACGAGGTCAAAAGGCCTGACGTGCACTAGAGAATCTGTTCACTGGATGCTGACACTTACGCTAAGGCTGGATAATCAGGGAGGCCAGGCAAAAACCTGCAGCACAAGAAAACCTGGGTAGGGCCAAGACCACCATGAGCAGCTCCCCACATAGCTCTATCTTTACAAGTTTAAGAAGAATCAGCATCATGGTAAACAACACCATACCTAAGACTGCAAAATATAAAGAGTCGGAGCGAGGGTTACATTAGTAGTAATGTTCATACCCTTTTACTCTGCCGGTTTTCAAATAGGCGTGCATCTTGAAGTAGCTGTTGTTAGTTTAGACAGAGGCTTTTTCTTGAACCAGTATAATAAAGTGTTTATAACCATTTTATTTCTGCAATTATCCAAGCTAGGTTATATCTTGAATTCGCCTTGTTTAAACTGGATTATACGAAGCTTCTGAGGGTTATATATTAAACCTCATTACAAACCTCGTCCTTGCAATTTATGCAGGAACATTTACGATACATATAGGCAATTCATAGGGTAGAATGTTATAGAGTTCATATGCAAGCTGGAAGCGATGAGGCAGCAATCCCTGGTTAAACGGTACAGATAGTACGTTTGCACGTGTGAACATCACCAGAACACATTCAAGTTTGTTGTTCGCCTTAAAAACAAAATGAAAGACGCAAGAGGAAAACGAGTGCTCTACAGTGAGAATTTTGTAAAACTAAGTGGTTAATTTATAGGTGAAAAGATAAAAGAATATGACATACAGGTAGATGCCATGTGTACAAAATGTGTATTGTACTGGAAGTCTGGAACGTGTAGTATATTGCGAAAAGTAAACTATTGCTCAAATTCGTTATATGACACTAAGTCTTATTATATAGCTCGTGTCTGATGTGATGCAGATGCATGCAGTTTTTCAAGTAATCCTCAGTAAATACTGCTAGCCATAATGTGTACGCTTGGATTAATTAATGAAAGATAAAATAAAGTCGGAATGTGCAAGCCTCTGTACGTACAGTTAGTGTAACAAAACATACATCTGCACAAAGTCAGATCAATTTAAAGAGAGGAACCTTGTCCGCAGTGTGAGGAACCTTGTCCTTTGTTTGAAGAACCTTGTCCTCAGAGTGAAGAGCCTTGTTCTCAGAGTAAGGAACCTTGTCCTCAGAGTGAATAACCCATACATGTCCAATACCTATGCAAGATGTCCAATGGAATAATCAAAAGGCCATTGGACATTCCATTTGTCAAATGGATCAAATGGACCTCCACTTTTCCATTGGACATTTGCTTGTCCATTGGATCCAATGGACAAATGGAATGTCCATTGGCCAGCAATGGATCAACTATCGGAACTATGCATCACCCGAATAACAGACCATGTGAAGGTTGCCGATCGGAACAATGCATCAACCGGATAAGAGCTTCCGCGTTTTTACCATTACGTAATTAACAGGTTGCAAGACTCCATGTGGACATATTATGAAACCAGAGAGATGTTCCAATGGTCCAATGGATCCAATGGATCCAATGGATCCAATGGACCAATTATTGTCCAATGGAATTTTACCTGTCCATTGGATCCAATGGACAAATTAGCCTTTCCATTGGAAAATTACCTGTCAATTGGTCCAATGGGAAAATAATATGGAAGTCGTTCTTAAAAACTCACGCAATATATCAACATAATTTTGCTTCGTTCTCAAGAAACCACGCGTACATAACACGGGAACGGGAAGATCCTTACATGAATAAATAAATATAATATGTTGTTGCTTCCTTCTTAAGAACTCACGCAATATATCAACATAATTTTGCTTCTTTGTCAACTAGAGACCACGTGTACATAACACGGGAACGGGAAGATGGCCTTATATGAATAAATAAATATAATATGTTGTTGCTTCGTTCTTAAGAACTCACGCAATATATCAACATAATTTTGCTTCTTTGTCAACTAGAGACCACGCGTACATAACACGGGAACTGGAAGATCCTTACATGAATAAATAAATATAATATTTTGTTGCTTCGTTCTTAAGAACTCACGCAATATATCAACATAATTTTGCTTCTTTGTCAACTAGAGACCAC